CTTACGAAGATTACTCTTGTATTGCCAATTGCTGGATAAAAATTCCCACGATATTTCAAGGGATATTTGGAATTGTTTGTGGTATTTCAATATTTTTATTTATTTATTAATGATTTCTCACGGAATCCCTGACAATAATCCGCGGAACCCTGGTTGGGAAACACTGATCTAGTTTGTCCAGATCATTTTGAATTTTGACCCTGTCCTCCAAAGCACTTTCAACCCCTCCCTGGTATTATTAGCAAACTTAATAAACATACTCTCTCTGCCGTCATCTAAATCATTGATGATATTGAACAGAACCAGTCCCAAAACAGACCCCCTGTGGAACTCCACTTTTTCCGCAGGGGTCTGTTTCAAGCCTTTCCAGCATGATTGTGAACCGTTAATAACTACTCTCTGAGAGCGGTTATCCAGCCAGTTATGCACCCATCATATAGTAGGTTGTACGTCCCTAGTTTATTGATAAGAAGGTCATGCAAGACTGTGTCATGCCTTACTAAAATCTAGGTATACCACGTCCACCTTTTCTCCCTTATGCACAAGACTTATTTTCCTATCAAAAGAAAGCTATGAGATTGGTTTGACATGATTTGTTCTTTACAAATCCATGCTGGCTGTTACCTATCACCTTATTATCTTCCAGATGTTTGCAGATGAATCCCTTAATTGCTTACTCAATTATCTTTCCTGGCACAAAAGGTAAACTGACTGGTCTGTAGTTTCCTGGGTTGTTTTTATTTTCCTTTTTATAGATGGGCACTATATTTGCCCTTTTCCAATCTTCTGGAATCTCTCCCGACTTCTGTGATTTTTCAGAGATGATCGCTAAAGGCTCAGATATCTCCTCTATCAACTCCTTGAATATTCTAGGATGCATTTCATCAGGTCCTGGTAACTTGGAGACATCTAACTTTTCTAAGAAATTTTTAACTTGTTCTTTTTTATTTAAACTTCTAAACCTACCCCATTTCCATTTGTCACCATTCATTTTCTTGACTAAAACTGAAACAACAAAGCCATTAAAGCACCTCTGCCATTTCCAAGTTTCTTCTTATTGTTTCTCCCTCTTCACTGAGCAATGGACCTACCCTGTCCTTGGTCTTCCTCTTGCTTCTAATATATTTGTAGAATATCTTTTTGTTATCCTTTATGTCTCTAGCTAAATTTAGCTCATTTTGTCTCTTTGCCTTTCTAATCTTGCCCCTGCGTACTGTGATGTTTGCTTATATTCATCCTTTGTAATGTGACCTAGTTTCCACTTTTTATATGACTCTTTTTTATTTTTAGATTATATAAGAGCTCCTAGATCATGGGCTCCCAAACTGGGGGCCGTGCCCCCCTGGGGGGGCATGAAGAAATTCCAGGGGGGGTGCGAGGCGACCCAGCACCTCCATCAATCCCCCCACAAGAAAGAGCCCGGTCCGTCCGTCCTCCAGAACATTTGCAGCTTGGGCTGGCCGGGGCAGACTTCAAAATGGCCACCGTAAAAGGGCAATGCCTGCTGTGCTCTTAAAAGGGCTTTTTTTCCCCCTCAAGTTTTGCTATTTTGGGGGAGAAGGGGAGGGGTGGCATGAGGGGTTTCTCAAAAATCAAAAAGGGGGCTTGATGCTGAAAAGTTTGGGAACCACTGTCCTAGATGCTCCAAGATTATCTCCTTGCTATACTTTCTATCTTTCCCATGCAGTGGAATAGTTTGATTTTGAACCCTTAATAATGTCCCTTTGAAAAACTGTCAGTTCTTCATCGAGTAGTGTCCCCGAGGATGCTCCACTCGAGGTGCTAGGCTCGTCCCGGTGCCGCAAATGGAGAAACTTCCTTAGCAGTAGCCCTGCCGGCCCACACATGCACTCCTGCTGCCTCGCACTGTTCAAGCCGTTACAGCTGAGCGCGGGCTGGCTCGTCAGTTTCCTTTCAACCGTCCGCAGCTGAAGACGGACCTAGGACGTGCTCTCTCTCCTGCCTGAGGAGAAAAAGGATTCTTTCTTTAGAGATTTTAATTGCCACTTGGCAGTTTATAGTTAGTATAGTTGTTAATAGTTAGTAGTTAGTTTTCAAAATCTTTGTTTTCTGTCCTAATCTATAGTTTGTGTTTAGTAGCCTTTAAAAAAAAACTGTTTGTTGTTGCTTACAACCTACAAAGACTATGCCTGGCTTTAAGAAATGTTTACAATGTCAGGATGCAATGCCCGAATCAGACGGGCACTCATGCTGTGTCAAATGTCTGGGGGACGGGCACATTCCGATGAAGTGCCCTCACTGTATGAAACTGACAGCTCGTGCCAGGCGCGATAGTGAAATGCGACAAAGTTATTTTATTCAACAAAGCCCTCCAGTCTGAGGCGAGCGCGCCGTCCCCCATTGCCTCTGGGACTCATTCAGCTCAGCTGAACTACCTCAGCAAAGGAGCGTGGGGGACAGACCAGGTACCTCTGGCTCCTTGCTGAGGCATCCAACAGAGAAGATGGGCAAGGGCCATAGTGCCTCAGCCCCGAGTCTTGCCCGTTCCAAAGACCCGATGCGGGCTCCTTGTAAAGGGCCACAGGCCCAGCAATGGCGGCCCCGGCAACGGCTGATGGCACTGGCTGATGCCGCACATGTGCAGCCAATCGCAACCCTGCCAGTACCCATGCCTGCGGCGCCGGCTGCTGTGACCGTGCTCTCCACGGTGCTGCAAGCAACAGCGCTGACTCCGGCACCACAGGCGATCATCGGCACCGCGCAGCCCTCTACACCGCAGCCTCCTCCGGCAGAGCTTCCAGTTCCCACAGCAGGGCAGCCATTCGACCGGGGCCACACCACTTCAAACGGCACCGTCTTCCCCCATTGATCATTCGGTGCCGACTAAGGCTCTATATAAGTCAAGGCGTGTTCAGACTCCTTCCCTCACGCCTGACGGAGCTGGATTCTCTCCAGGACCCTGGTCACCAGCTTCATCTTGCTCGGACAACCATCATGCTCCCCATTATGTCTCCACTAGGGATCACTACCATAGATCACCTCATCGATCACCATCATACCGTCACCACTGCTGTCACGATGAACTGCGCTACTCTTGCTATTCTCGTTCTCCATCTCGTTTTTCTGGTAGATCTATCTTACCAAGATCCTCGAGATGCTCAAGATATTCACACCGATGCGATGCGTCCAGAGCCTACTCTCCCAGGCGCTCCCCAACTCACCGTCAGATATGATCATTACTATGATGACCGCCTACCTTCTCATAGCACGCGATGCCCGCGCCCGCGCTCACGATCTCCACAACCCACTAGTCTAGTGTATCCACTTCACACACCTTCACCAACGGTTCCATCAGTGCCTGTGGAGGACACTATCTCGGTTTCTAATCGTGACGAGCATGAGAACAACTATACCCCAAACAGGGAACCTCAGAGCCCTGGGTCTCCGGCCCATCTCCTGACGAAGCTGTCTTCCCTGGAGAGCTATCTCCCATGAAAGATCATAAACAATTTCAAGAGCTTTTTGCGAGGGTTGCGCAATCTCATGGTATTCAAACTACGGACGTGCAGCATAAGCAACACCCCTTGCTAAAGAACTTGAAGTGGTCACAAAAATCGAAGCTGGCTCTGCCCTTTGATGAGGCTATCCTGGAAATCGCAAATGATATATGGCAGACTCCTGCTGCTTCTTTACCGACTAACAAGAGACCTGATAAGAAATATTTTATAAACCAAAAGGGTATGGATTTTTTGTTTATGCATCCCTAGCCCAACTCCCTCGTTATGGACGCCACCCAACAGAGATGGGAGCCGGCTCAAAATAAAAAATACTGCAAGTGACAAAGAGGCTAAGCGCCTGGACATTTTAGGTAGAAAAGTATATTCTTCTGCTGCTTCAGTTCTCCGAATGTGTAACTGCATGGCTCCCCTCGCAAATCATGACTTTGACAATTATTCGAAATTAGTCCCTCTTCTAGAACACCTACCGGACTCGAAGCGTCAAATCTTAAGGGCAGTAATACAGGAGGGCTACGCAATGGCCAGAACAGCATTGCAGATTGCCCTGGACACAGCTGATGCAGCAGCTAGGGCCACAGCTACTGCTGTAGTCATGCGTCGTGTGTCCTGGTTACATCAAGCCGCTGCCCTGAAAGAGTTGTTGAACAAGGTAAAAGACTTACCCTTTGATCGCTATTCTCTCTTTGCCCAATCCACTGATCAGGTGTTCCACTCGGGCAAAGACTCCCGTACGACTCTTAGAACGCTTGGGATGTATACACCTCCCGTATAAGCGTAAGAGGTATACGCCCTATAACAAACAGAGACCCTTCTCTTGCGCAACATTCCGTGCCAAGCCATATGAGCAGCAGAGACCAAGACAACACCAGCAGAAACGAAGACAACAGTCTGGCAAGACATCTGGTCACCAGCAGGACCGGCAACAAGTTTGATGGGTCAGTCGAGGGACTGCGTACCACCCCTTTGTCGGGAGCGTCACACAGTCAGATAGCTTTATTCCATCATCGGCTGAGGCCTTATCAACATCGCTGGTCTCTGGTTTCCACCGACTGCTGGGTCAGCGACATAGTTGTTTCAGGATATGCCATCCCTTTCAACTCAACCCCCCCCCCCCCCTCCCCACCCCCCCCGCTCCTTGGTGTGTTCTGTCTTAACTGATCACAACTGCTTTGGAGAATATGGTCATAAGTTAAAATGATCTGGACAAACTGGAGAAATGGTCTGATGACGTTTAAGAAGGACAAATCAAAGTACTCCACTTAGGAAGGAATAATTCATTTCACACATACAGAATGGGAAGTGACTGCCAAGGAAGGCGTACTGCAGAAAGGGATCTAGGGGTCATAGTGGATCATAAGCTAAATATGAGTCAACAGTGTGACACCGTTGCAAAAAAAGCAAATATGATTCTATGATGCATTAACAGGAGTATTGTGAGCAAGACACAAGAAGTCATTCTTCTGCTCTACTCTGCAGGATGCAGGATGCACACCACTCCAAACGGCACCGTCTTCCCCCATTGATCATTCGGTGCCGACTAAGGCTCTATATAAGTCAAGGCGTGTTCAGACTCCTTCCCTCACGCCTGACGGAGCTGGATTCTCTCCAGGTATGATGCATTAACAGGAGTATTGTGAGCAAGACACAAGAAGTCATTCTTCTGCTCTACTCTGCAGGATGCAGGATGCACACCACTCCAAACGGCACCGTCTTCCCCCATTGATCATTCGGTGCCGACTAAGGCTCTATATAAGTCAAGGCGTGTTCAGACTCCTTCCCTCACGCCTGACGGAGCTGGATTCTCTCCAGGACCCTGGTCACCAGCTTCATCTTGCTCGGACAACCATCATGCTCCCCATTATGTCTCCACTAGGGATCACTACCATAGATCACCTCATCGATCACCATCATACCGTCACCACTGCTGTCACGATGAACTGCGCTACTCTTGCTATTCTCGTTCTCCATCTCGTTTTTCTGGTAGATCTATCTTACCAAGATCCTCGAGATGCTCAAGATATTCACACCGATGCGATGCGTCCAGAGCCTACTCTCCCAGGCGCTCCCCAACTCACCGTCAGATATGATCATTACTATGATGACCGCCTACCTTCTCATAGCACGCGATGCCCGCGCCCGCGCTCACGATCTCCACAACCCACTAGTCTAGTGTATCCACTTCACACACCTTCACCAACGGTTCCATCAGTGCCTGTGGAGGACACTATCTCGGTTTCTAATCGTGACGAGCATGAGAACAACTATACCCCAAACAGGGAACCTCAGAGCCCTGGGTCTCCGGCCCATCTCCTGACGAAGCTGTCTTCCCTGGAGAGCTATCTCCCATGAAAGATCATAAACAATTTCAAGAGCTTTTTGCGAGGGTTGCGCAATCTCATGGTATTCAAACTACGGACGTGCAGCATAAGCAACACCCCTTGCTAAAGAACTTGAAGTGGTCACAAAAATCGAAGCTGGCTCTGCCCTTTGATGAGGCTATCCTGGAAATCGCAAATGATATATGGCAGACTCCTGCTGCTTCTTTACCGACTAACAAGAGACCTGATAAGAAATATTTTATAAACCAAAAGGGTATGGATTTTTTGTTTATGCATCCCTAGCCCAACTCCCTCGTTATGGACGCCACCCAACAGAGATGGGAGCCGGCTCAAAATAAAAAATACTGCAAGTGACAAAGAGGCTAAGCGCCTGGACATTTTAGGTAGAAAAGTATATTCTTCTGCTGCTTCAGTTCTCCGAATGTGTAACTGCATGGCTCCCCTCGCAAATCATGACTTTGACAATTATTCGAAATTAGTCCCTCTTCTAGAACACCTACCGGACTCGAAGCGTCAAATCTTAAGGGCAGTAATACAGGAGGGCTACGCAATGGCCAGAACAGCATTGCAGATTGCCCTGGACACAGCTGATGCAGCAGCTAGGGCCACAGCTACTGCTGTAGTCATGCGTCGTGTGTCCTGGTTACATCAAGCCGCTGCCCTGAAAGAGTTGTTGAACAAGGTAAAAGACTTACCCTTTGATCGCTATTCTCTCTTTGCCCAATCCACTGATCAGGTGTTCCACTCGGGCAAAGACTCCCGTACGACTCTTAGAACGCTTGGGATGTATACACCTCCCGTATAAGCGTAAGAGGTATACGCCCTATAACAAACAGAGACCCTTCTCTTGCGCAACATTCCGTGCCAAGCCATATGAGCAGCAGAGACCAAGACAACACCAGCAGAAACGAAGACAACAGTCTGGCAAGACATCTGGTCACCAGCAGGACCGGCAACAAGTTTGATGGGTCAGTCGAGGGACTGCGTACCACCCCTTTGTCGGGAGCGTCACACAGTCAGATAGCTTTATTCCATCATCGGCTGAGGCCTTATCAACATCGCTGGTCTCTGGTTTCCACCGACTGCTGGGTCAGCGACATAGTTGTTTCAGGATATGCCATCCCTTTCAACTCACCCTCCTCGTCCCTTTTCAGGGACCCCTCTCACGAGACTCTTCTACAGCAAGAGATGTCTCGACTACTTACTATAGGAGCAGTGGAGAGGGTACCCATTCAGTTCCGGGGAAGAGGTTTCTACTTCCGGTACTTCCTCACCCAGAAGAAGTCAGGGGGTTGGAGGCCTATCCTGGACCTGCGTCGACTCAACCGTTACCTGCGGAAACAAAAATTCAAAATGGTCACCTTAGCTTCTATTATTCCGGCTCTCGACAAAGGGGATTGGTTTGCGTCCCTCGACTTACAGGACACCTATTTCCACATACCGATTCATCCGGCCCACGGCGATTCCTTTGTTTCGTAGTGGGTTCAGACCATTACCAATACCGAGTGTTACCCTTCGGTCTGTCAGCAGCATCACTGGTGTTTTCCAAAACCCTGGCGGTGGTAGCTGCCTACCTTTGACGCCTCAATATCACGATCTTCCTGTATCTCGACGATTGCCTACTGAAGGCCCCTACTCGCGAAGAGGCTACATGGGCAGTGACCACTACCACAGCGGTGTTCAAGGCGTTGGGCCTCATAATCAACTTCAGCAAATCATCCCTGACACCGAGTCAGGACTTGGAATTTATCGGCGCAAGGCTCGATGCACTGAGTGCAAGAGTATACTTACCTACAACAAGGTTCAAGTTGATTCGGGATGTGGTGCAGACTGTGTCAGATCCCACATACTTACCTGTCTACAGCTGCTCGGACATATGGCTGCCACCACATATGTGTCACATGCGAGACTTCACCTACGCAGCCTCCAGCATTGGCTTTTCACGGCGTACACACAGTGAACAAAACAGTATCCATTCCCAGACACGTCAGGACTTCACTAACATGGTGGGACAACCCCAAAAATTTGCTATCAGGGGTCCCCTTCCACGCACAAAGGCCTGCAGTGCAGATCATAACGGATGCTTCTTTGATTGGTTGGGGGGCCCATCTGCAAGAACATCGTGTTCAGGGGCTCTGGACGTCACAAGAGTCCCTCCAGCACATAAATTTCCTCGAGCTGCGAGCTGTATCCAACGCATGCAGGCACTTCCTCCAGAGGATCCGAGGTCTTGCAGTCCACATTCTCACCGACAATATATGCACGGTGTATTATATCAACAGGCAAGGCGGGGCGCGTTTACGATCCCTTTGTGCGGAGGCTATATGGCTGTGGAACTGGGCAATCCATCACGATATAACCCTTACCGCATCGTACCTTCCAGGCAAAGACAATATCATAGCCGATGCGCTCAGCAGACCCTTCCTTCCTCAGCACGAGTGGGAGTTGCACAACAAAGTGGCTCGTGGTCTTTTCCATCTCTGGGGTTTCCCGAGTATAGGCCTCTTTGCCACGCGTTGCAACAAAAAGTGTCATCATTATTGCTCACGAGCGGGCGTCGGCATGAATTCCTTGGGAGATGCTCTCCTGCTCAATTGGGGTCGTCACCAGTTACTCTATGCGTTTCCACCTCTCCCTCTCATTCCGAGGGCGCTGGAGAAGATAGCGATGGAGGGTGCGACAGTGATCTTCATAGCACCCTTTTGGCCCCGACAGACCTGGCTGACGCAATTGTTGAAAATGTCGGTCGCTCAGCCACGATGACTACCACTGCTGCCCAATTTGCTGTCTCAATGGCACGGTTCGATGGTGCATCCGAGCATCGATCGCATGCACCTCACAGCATGGCTCCTAACTGGTTCTAGCCACCAGAAATGACCTGCTCTCAGGAAGTAAAACATGTACTAATAAATAGCAGATGCCATAGCACTCGCAAATCCTACACCTACGAATGGCATTGGTTCCAAATGTGATATCTGGAGAGGGACGTTGATCCTCTCTCTTTACCGGTGCAGCAAGCTTTGGACTACATCTTCCACCTGAAGGCAGAAGGGTTAGCAAATGCTTCGCTGAAAGTTCACTTGGCAGCAATCTCGGCCTTCCGCCCTCCCATCGACAGACATTCGCTGTTCGCTCACCCGTTAGTTAAAAGATTCCTAAAGGGACTCGGGAATCTGTATCCGACCCACACAATCCCACCGGAGCCGTGGGACTTAGCCTTGGTACTGGACACGCTAACTCGTCCCCTCTTTGAGCCGTTAGCAACTTGCGACTTGCGCATGCTCATGATGAAAGTGTCATTCCTTCTGCCAATCACATCAGCACGTCTAGTTAGTGAATTGGCAGCTCTTTCGGCCGATCCACCGTACACATTATTTTCTGAACAGGGGGTTCTGCTTCGCGTACATTTCCCCGCCCCCTTCCGAAGGTAAATTCTCCCTTTCATATAAACGAGCCCATAAGCCTGTCAACATTCTATCTAAACCTCATTCTTTGCCAGAAGATTCGAGTTTACATACTCTCGATATCAGACGAGCACTGGCCTTCTATTTGCATAAAACACGCGCCTTCAGGAAGTCTTGACGTCTTTTTATAGCTACGGCGGAGCGTTCCAAAGGCCAACAGCTCTCCAAACAACGTATTTCCAACTTGATCACCTCCTGCATCGCACGTTATGCCCTACGGCATGAACCCTTACCAGGACGGCCTTGCGCTCATTCCACCAGAGGCATGGCCGCATCTACTGCGTACCTTAGAGAGGTACCCTTGCAGGACATATGCTGTGCAGCAACTTGGTCATCTGCTCTTACCTTTGCCAGGCACTATGCCCTTGTGAAGATATTGAAGAATGATTCAGCGGTGGCTCAAGCAGTCTTGACCACAGCACAGAGATCATAAGTCCGAAGCACACCAATAGTGTTGGACGGGGCTGCTGTGTACTCACCTCGAGTGGAGCACCCTCGGGGACACTACTTGATGAAGAAGAGAGGGTTACTTACCCTGTGTAGTAACGTCTATTCTTCGAGATGTGTGTCCCCATGGGTGCTCCACGACCCATCCTCCTCCCTGCTTCGGAGCTCTTTTTTTCTCTTTTTCAGATGTTCTGGCTAGGAGGAACTGGCGTGTCGGACTGCACGACGCAGAAAAGGCGCGAACACCACGGGGCACTCTGCGCATGCACGGTCCTCCGGAGGGGGCTACTGCTGGCGACACCGGGACAAGCCCAGGACCTCGAGTGGAGCACCCACGGGGGGGACACATCTCAAAGAACAGACGTTACTGCACAGGGTGAGTAACTCTTTCCTCTCTTCAGTTGTTTTTCCTCTTAGTCTTGCTTCCTATGGAACCTTAGTTACCAGCCCTCTGAGTTTACTAAAATCTGCCTTCCTGAAATCCATTGTTTCTATTTTGCTGTTCTCCCTTCTACCGTTCCTAACAATCATGAACTCTGTGATTTCATGATCACTTTTACCCATGCTGCCTTCCATTTTAAAAATTTCAACCAGTTTCTTCCTATTTGTTAAAATCAAATAAAGAATAGCTTACCCCCTAGTAATTTTCTTAACTTTCTGGAAAAAAAAATTATCTCTAATGCAGTCCAAGAATTTATTGGATAATCTGTGCCCTCTTGTGTTAGTTTCCCAACTTATGTCTGGGTAGTTGAAATCCCCCCTCATCACCAAATCCTGCACATGGGATGATTTTGTTTAAAAAAAAGCCTCACCCACCTCTTCTGCCTGGGTAGGTGGTCTGCAGTAGACCCCTAGTATGACATCACCCTTGGTTTTTGCCCATTTTAACCTAACACAGAGATTCTCAACAAGTCTGTTTCCTGTGTCCATCTCCACCTCAGTCCAAGTGTATACATTTTTAATATACAAGATAACACATACTCCCTTTTTAACCTGCGTATCCTTCCTGAGCAAGCTGTACCCTTCTATACCAATATTTCAATCAGGTATATTATCCCACCAAGTCTCTGTGATAATAACTTTGTCATAGTTGTGTGTGTTTATTAGCACTTCAAGATCTTCCTGCTTATTCTGTATATTTTTTGCATTTTTATATAGGCACCTAAGATACTGATTTTATTTTGCTTCCCAGTTCTGCCTTGTCTCTCCTTTATCTCTGCTATTATAGCCTATGCTCCCTCCCATTTCTGAGCCATCTCCCAGGTCATAAGTTTTTGTTTTTTTTGTTTTTTGTTTTTTGTTTTTTACAAGGCTAGAACCATGTATTTTCCTCTAATGTTG